TGCTCTGTTCTGACGACTGCCTCCTGGTCCAAGTATAGGTTTCGCATAGAAAGTAAATAAATTTTATTAACTTGGGAGTAAGGAGTAGCAAGTAGGTTTGATGGTATGAAATATAATGACAAATGTTAAGGTACAAGTCTGAATTATTAACTCTGTCAATCACTGCATATGTTAAAGGAGCAGGAGATGGGAGAAAGGACCCAAACCCTTTACTTAGAGGGTCTTGGGAAGTCTAATACCTGCTACTTTTCTTATTTTTCTTAAAATACAGTAAGGATTATCTCATAGGTCTTTTAAATATATTTTGTTTGCCTTTAAGAATAACTAGATCTCAATCCAATCTCAATCCTAAATAGAGGCACATATAGGCTGGATTCTTTGTATACAGGACCGTAACCCCTCCTTGCTAAAACTATCCTGAACTGTTTTATGTCTGCTGTAGCATTATTCCTAATACTTCCAGTGTGGTTTTAATTTTTAAAAAAGAAAATGGGAAGAAAAAAAAAAGAAAGTGGGAAATTGTGCTCATGCCTTTCTCATGTTATTTACATAGCCTCGTTCTGAACGAGAACAATTGTTTCATGCTATTGAATGCTCCAGAGGGAAAGTCCCTCAAGGTCAGTGTTTGCAGATAGATAGGAAAACTGACCTGGAGACAAACTGAAAGATGTAGTTCTTGTGGGCCATCAAGGGAGAGTTAACTGACTCCTAGCTAACCCTCGAGCAGGTTTTCAGGGGCAGTAAATCACACGGGAGGAGATAGATTAGGCAGTCAGAAACGTTGTTGTTGTTGTTGTTAAGTGCCATTGACTCACCTGTGACTCATAGCAGCCCCTTGTACAACAGCTCTGAAGCCTGCTGTCCTGAGCCAATCTCACTGACTCCAACACACCTACCCCCATTGCCCTAGTTACTGTATCAATCCATCTCATCCGGGATCTTCCTCTTCTGTGCTGTCCCTCCACCCTTCCAACCATGATGTCATTCTCCAAGGATCAGTCCCTCTTGACCACATGCCCAAAATTTGTGAGATGGAGCTTCAGTATCCTAGCCTCCAAGGAGAAACTTGGTTTCACCCTTTCCAAGACAGACCTATTTGTTTTCTTGGTGGTCCATGGTATGTTCAATACTCCTCCAGCACCACAACTCAAAAGCATCCATTCTTCTATCATCCGTAGTATAGCAAGTAATTGTGAAGACCATGGACTGGATCAGGCTCATCTTAGTCTCTAGACAGACGTCATTACTTCTCAGTACTCTGAAAAGGTCCCTGACAACGGATTGACCTAATGCAATTCATCTTTTTATTTCCTGTTTGTGCCAAAAGTGTTGATTGTGGAGGCAAGCAAGCTGTAACTGTTAAAACCTCAATCTCCTCTGCCGGAGAAGGAGGGACAATCTCCTCCTGTACCAGTCGGATCTGATTTGACGGTACACACAAAAAAAATAATAAAATAAAATAAATGAGTGATAGGGAATGGCAAAGGACACACTGACAAAGGAGATTAATCAGAACTGGCTTTGACAAGCACTGTGGCAATTGGACAATTAAAACAGACATTC